GATATTTCATTTGTTGAAGGGCAACTACTAATCGGCAAGGGTGTCAGGAACTGGAATCTATAATGAAAACCCCGAGACACGAGCAGGTGATAACCCACACTAGAGTAACCATGTCATCCATCAATATAAATTCCATGCCACCACAACCTTAACAGTTGGTCGCTGAGGCCTAACACATTTATAAAACTCCATAGGGCCTAGGGGCTATCAGTATGATGGTGTTGTAGTTGGTGGATGATAGCTAAAAAAAAAAAAGTACAGAATGTGGTTTGAGTTTCAGTTGTTTCTGGTTTGACAGTTGTTTTTTTTCCGAATGTGTAGTGTGTCCAATTATATGGCATAAACATAATGAATGTCATTATATGGCACAAACATAAAAAACGTCATTATACGAAAAAAAGATGATGAATGTCGAGAAATAAGGCTAAGCCAGCTACCTTGTGACTGAATGAAAAGGGGGCGCTTCAAAGCTGAACAGGCTCCATCTCTGGAGACACCTTGTTTAAGTTTAAATATTACGCGATTCGTAATAAAGTAATGTAGATTATTACAACCTTTTACTTTACTTTATGACGAATGCCTTTTAAAGGATAACTATCAATTTTAAAAAGTGTTCCTCTTTTCTTGATTTTCTAACCTTTCATTAAATCAGACAGAATAATTCGCGAAAACCTGTTGTATCAAGTTTTACTTCTGTAGTTCTAAAAACGTACAATTTTACTGTGCTGATGTTAATTATTGTGTAGTTCTGCTTACCCGGTACACTAGTTTAGCATGGGTCTCAATTTGAGAAAATGACTGTTTTATTTTTAGTTTGATTTTTATGGCATTAGTTGTGTGTTCCCATTACAGAATATTTACGTTGAAATGGGAAAAAGTGGGGGTGGGGGGAATTGATTGTAATGAAATTGAAAGCTCATACAAATGCAATGAGAGGTGTTATCTAAGTGTGTCTTGACATTCAGTGACAAAAGTGCCCCCCCCCCACCCCAAAAAAAAAATTCCAAAAAGGTATGCTTTATTTTAATGCCTATAACTTTAAACAAATTAATTTCCACACCATGAGTCACTTGACTTTATTAACTGCTCTATTGGTCATATATTTCACGTCACAAAGGTCTGCCCCCTCCCCCCCCCCCCCAAAAAAAAATAAGGTCCGCCCCCCCCCCCCCCCCCCCCAAAAAAAAAACACCAAAAACATCGTTGTCTATTTAGTAATGAAACAAAAATTAAACTGACGTAAATTTTTGTCAGGTACAAACGAACTAAAGTAAAGTTAATATATATCTTAAGGATATAATAGATTGTCCCTAAAAAAAGTGTTTTGATTTAATTTTGTACGCAAATTTCAACTTTTTCAGCAAGTTGTTTTTCATATAACTTTGAGCAAGGTGTTTTTCATACAATTTAAACTAATCATTTAATTTTTATATTCATTTAATTTGACATACCCCGGTACTCACAATTATTTTCAGTAGAACGTTAGCAATTTGATGTCACGTTACCAATTTGATGTGACTTGGCCTTCACTCTCAATTTTCAATCCAGTAGTCTCAAACCAACCTTTTTTATTTTTAATACTGCCTGGTGCCATTAATGATAACTTGTGTTTTTATACATGAAAATTTAACAGTGACGTGAACACAGTTAATTTCAAGGCAGGTTTCAGTGATAAGTAAGATCTTTATTCGATTAAGTTGCATTAAAAAATGACAGAAAACTGGACACGAATAACCAAATAGATGACTTGGTATAGAAGACTACTAGATGTATAAACAGAAATCTGATTTGATAAATCACATGACATGAATGGAAAATTCCTCCTCCAGCTACAGCTCACCAATTTTTTTTGTCTCTATTTGAACTTTTTTTTATTTACAGCATTTTAATTGTTCAATTCCAGCTGAATGTGGGTGTAAATAAAGAGGGTGTTTTAATTTAGGTTGGGGGACAGGGGGGTGCAAAAGATATTTCCAAAAGGATTTTGCCATGAACAGATATAAAATGAAAAATTTGAAAAGATTTGAACAAGTAAAAGATTTAAAAGGAAAGGAAACCAGGGTTTGGAATGTTGGGAGGAAGCCTGACGGACAAGACTAAATGTCTACACACAAACTGGACATCACTTCTAAATGCTACATCAAGTTTAGTACAGGGCACAAATCAATACATCCGCAAGCCGGTGAGGCGTTAAAAAAAAATTTATGGCAAATTTTTTTTCTTCTAAAATGCAATTATCTGGTCCATCATCATACACATGTACATGGTCTGGCTGATGTGTTTGTACATTAGGCGACACCCAGTTACAAATAAGATCTGATCAGGGCTTGGCTCAGCTTCACAAAATTACATAAGTTGTGGTAGGAGCAGGGCTTAGAATACGCTCATACTGCTGATTTGTTTAGTAAATTCTCAAGCAGGTAGGAAATACAAGTTACAAGATTCCTGAGATAAAGTGCTATTAGTTATAACAAAAATGGGGTCAGCTTGTTTCATTATCACGGCTTTTGCCAGTCTATTGTCTGCTTGCAATATACACAAACAACCCTATAACATGATTTTGAATGCCCAAGCTTTGTTAGCGGAGAGGTTACTAGCACTGCATCTGCAACCTTAGAATATATTCATTAAAAAAAAAATAGCTAACAAATTTAATTTATTATGTGTATTCCATAGAAGCCATACTTTGTGATTGGAAGAATAAAATTTGCGAAAAAAAGTTTTTAAGAGGACCAAAATCTTGTTTTTAAAAAAGGTATACAAGTTTTTAATTGTTTTCTTAATTGACCTTTTACTCTTGCATTGTAGGGGTGGTTTTGGTAAAATCATATTTTTAAAGTTTAATCCATTCATATTAAGAGCCACATATTACGCTAACTCATAGAATCTTGATAAATATAAACTTTAGTTCTGCACAGCTGTGGCTGCTCAGTGTGAACACCGAACACCTAGGTGGGACATTAGTGTCAGCTAGAGATTGTAAACAAGAAATATTGGTGTATTCTCAGCATGGATTTACGCAACAAATCCGCAGTGTAAACGTGCCTTTAGATACCCCAAGTTTTATAATAGCCACATCAGATTTATTCATAACCACAAACTAAATCTTTAAACAATGGGCTATAGCTAATGCAACAAACAACAAAAATTTTAATAATTCCTGATTATTGATGATGAATCTATTAACAAAACACAATGATGGGAGACAACCACAGGGGTTAGAGGGGTTGCCTCCCCTTACACATACAGTCGGCAAATATAATACAGATTAAAAAACTGGTAAAAATATGTTACATCAATAACAAAAAAGATTTAAACTTCTTTGTTTTCTTCCACTTGCGATAGATTTAAGTGTTATCACACGAGTGCTCCTTGACTCCCACATAAGACAATTCAACTATATCGCAAACGTAATCATTCCAAGTGATGGCTTCCTCATTTGTTTCTATCTACCAGAACTGATTTAAAGTAGTTCATTTGGGCCAACTCCCTGGCCAGGAAGCTCTTCACACCAGACAGCTCTCACACACAAAGAGCGAAGCCTCAACTGTCAAGACACTTGGCCGATTAGTCTTAGGGTAGAGACAACAAAAACCATGTCACTGGTGGCCCAAGCTTGGTCGACAGTTGGAAGGCTTGACTGCACTGTACCTTTAAATTTAATCCTCAGAATAGTCACAGAAATGATGATGATAATCTGACAGCTGCTTTTAATGTCAAACTCTATTCACAACACTACAGTCACTCCAGTCCATTCTTTTAAGTTAATTTTGTAAGTTATTTATTATTCCTTCAAGTACGGTACAAGCAATTATGGTCTATTTATTATTCCTTTACGTACAAGCAATTATGGTCAAGAAGAATATAAAAAAATTTTAAGTTTACATGAAAGAAATACATCAAAATGGTGGTGGTCATAGGAAGAAAAAAAAAACCAACCTCTCACTGACATTGTTGAAAGAGATTTGAGGAGGACTGCTCGAAGCTTTGACTAGTAACGTTGTTCAATCTTAGTTTTTAACAATTCTTTTGTGCACATTAAAAAAAGATTAGAAATATTCCATCTTCGATGGATTCCTTCAGTACCAAAAGTGGACTTTTGTATTTTTAAAAATAAAAAAATAAACCATTTTATTAAAATTATCTGTTATTCAATGACTTGAGAGATTTTAACCTCATTTACAACAAAATTTTAAGCAAATGAAAATATATCTTTTTTTAAAATATCATCTAAACCATGAAGTGCTCTAGGAAGTGTTCACACACATTCTAATCCATCAAATAAACTTGTCCAAAACAGAATCATACACAAGTAGGTTGTCTACAACTGATAACTATATAACAATAATTGTTCATCCTACAGCACAAATTTCAATCAATTTTACATCTCATCCATGCATTCCATCACAATTTGCTAATGTGTTTGAAAACAATTTACTGTTTCACTTAAAAAAATACATTTGATAGAGCCGCACACACACTTCACCCACACACGTGCACTTTGGCTTTGTTCCAATGAACCAAATAACTTTTTTTCACAGGTATTTTCTCGGAATAATAAAAAAAAAAAAAAAAGAGCTATGACCTACATTGCAGGTGCAACCTAATTTTTTGCTTTCGTGACTTAAATATACAACAATGAACCTATCCCTGGCAAGGTGGAAAATAGCCAGGCAGATCCAGTGTTAGTAGTAGGTCTCCCTCTCCACGAAACCACCTGGGTGTCTTCTGAGGATAAATTTCCGCACCTCATCATAGATGAAGATGGCCAAGCTGTAGGGCAGGGCAACCAGCCACCAAGTGAACCTGCAATCAAACAAAACATATTAGCCATACATAAAACTATTTTTCAATTACTGCAAAAAGACATTCTGAGTAATTGGCAGCTATTGATTATCACTTCTTTTTTTTTTTTGGTACCATCTTCTTTTTTAATTATCTGTAAGAAATAGTAAAAAGTAACAGGAAAAGAAAGGTAACAACGTATTTCACATTCATATTCAGTACCTGAGAGGTTGCATACGAAGACCTTTGTCCAGGCCTGGGCAGTAGCACAAAAATGCAGCTAGAACAGTCTCAAATAGCAAGCCAAAGGTCAGACGGTGGTTCCTGAAATAAGGATCAAGAAAAATTAGATGTTAACCAGTTCAAGTTAGATAACTGGGAGAGATGCGGTTTTATGAGAAGTAACTCAGATGCATATGAAATATAAAGTTTCCAGCTTGATACCATGTACTGAAAATACTTACTTCATTCCTTGCTGGAAGAGTGACAGACGTCTGGTCTTACAGATGATCAGATCAGCCCATTGGACAATCACAATGGAGACGAAGAAAGCGGTGTGGCAGGTGTATTCCAACTTCTTGCGCTGGGAGTAAGTCTAAAATTAAATGGAAGATCAAGTTACACATTTTGAATCACTGGGTAAGCCCACTTGAGCATCTATTCTTTATTGGAGGTAAGTAAAAAAAAATTTTTTTTAACTCAATCGGAAGACAACAGCTAATTTAGTTTGACATTAAAACTTAGCATACTAACAAATGAAAATTCTAAAAATAGCTGTGAAACAGACAAATGTATTTTAAATAAATGACTACTCCCCTAATTAGAACACTGCCCCATCATTAAACAATGAAACGAGACTCACCCATTCCTGGCCATATGAGTCCTCCAAGTCATTGATACCAAGGGAATCCCACTCCTTACGGATACCCAGCAGACGGCTCATCCAGAACCCATTCTCACCCATGATGACAAAGTAGGTGAAAAATCCAGCCGTGGCTTGGATCATACCAATCTGACCATAGGCCATACTGATCAATCTGAAAACCAAAAGTTAAATTTTGTGAATAAAATGTTTTTGTCAATAAAACTTTTAATATGCCAGTAGATGGATGCGGCAACGTGCCCTATCAGAATCCGAATTCTTTTATGCAGGATAACTTTAATTTTTTAATTTTCTTGTCTACTTAATGATCTGTGCAGTGCCACTTATTTAAAAAAATTTCTTTAATGGTGAATGCAGAATATCTTGTTGACATAGAATTGAATGTGAATTGGGACAAAGGCTACAAAAATAATTACAAACTCGGCATTGCACGCATGAAAACTAGAGACAGAGTTTGCAGCATGAAAACTAGAGACAGAGTGTTATGTGCAAGAGATTGATAAGACATACAGACAAGACCGGTTGATACTTTCAGTACAAACCCTCATTTAATAGTAAGCTAAAAGCAGTTGGAAAATTCTGGAATAAATGAATTTTTTTTAAAATAAATCATTACCTGTCGTTGACAAGTTTATCTTTGAGGGGATTTCTGGGCAATCTCTTCATGATGTCCAACTCTGCTTGCTCGTAAGCCAGGGAAATGGCGGGGACCATGTCGGTACCCAAATCAATACACAAGATGGTGATGGTGCCGAGGGGAAGGGGAATGTCAGCAAGGATAAATAGGAGGAAGGGTGAGATCTCAGGAATGTTGGAAGTCAGGGTGTAGGCGATGGATTTTTTCAAGTTGTCAAAGATGAGACGACCTTCTTCAACTCCGGTGACGATGGAAGCAAAGTTGTCATCCAAGAGGATCATGTCAGCCGCTTGTTTGCTTACGTCACTGCCAGCAATACCCATGGCAATACCTTAATAAACAAACAAAAAAAACAGATTTGAAACATTTAAGTCTCTCAAAATGATAGTTACAATAATAAACAATCTAGTTCAAATCAAGTTATCTTTAATTTCTCACAACAAACTGGAGAGTAAGGGAAGATGATAGTTCAGGAAAACATACCAATGTCAGCTCTCTTGAGTGCAGGTGAGTCATTGACACCATCACCAGTTACGGCCACAATCTGACCCTGTCTCTGGCAGCCCTCTACAATGATCAGTTTCTGTTGGGGTGAAGTACGGGCAAACACAATCTCCGCGTGGTTGATCAAAATTTCATCAATTTGAGCTGGGGTCATGTCCCTGAGGTCACCACCATGAATAACTGCAGCCTTGGCCTCTCTGAAATTATAAAAATATTTTTTAAAGATTTAATTGGCAACGAATTTTTAAAAAAACTTTAAATTATTATTTACATTGTATACCCTTTTTCCCCACTCTATGAGAATACTTCATTACTTATTAAGCTTTAGCGGGGGGGAAAAAAACAACATCTATTGACCATTAAAAAAGTATCCCAAAATCACTAAAAAATACTGAGTATCTACCTTGGATCAACTTCTTCAACTGGAATGCTTCGTTCAGCAGCAATGTCTTCAACTGTCTTACTTCCTTCAGAGATGATTCCGACACCTTTAGCGATAGCTTTGGCTGTGATAGGATGGTCACCAGTAACCATGATAACCTGAAACATACCAGACAAAATGACTTCCAGGTGATAACTTATGCTTACTTAATCATTTTAAAAACATTGATGTTATTAATTAAAAATTTAGTTAAACCAACCGCAGATTTTAAAATACACTTACCTTAATACCAGCACTCCTGCATTTACCAACAGCATCTGGCACAGCAGCACGAGGGGGGTCAATCATGGACATAAGACCAACAAAGCGGAGACCAGTGATGGGAAAGTTAGGGCCTTCGGGATCAAACTGATAATTGGGTGGGAACTCAGCAGAGGGGAGGAGGTAGTCACAGAAACCTGTGGGATATAATAACTTTATTAGGTCATGAAATTCTTTATTCATATTAATGTTGCAAGAATTACTTAAATCCAAAGTATTTCAAGTGAGTACAAGTATATTAAGACAAACGGTGTATTCAGCTAGCTGATGAAATGTCATTTAATTAATAAATACCTGAATTTTAATGAAATACTGTAATTTTATAATATATTTTTGACAATGTAACATGATTTTTTTAAATTTACATCTCAGCCACTTTGAATCAGCTTTGGTCACTATATAAATTGATAAAACATCTCACCCAAAACTCTCTCTCCAAGACCTCCTAGTTCCAGGTAGGCAGAGTTAAAAGCTTCACGGAAGTTATCATCAAGCGGTTGCTCTTTGCCGTGCATGAGAATAGTGGAACAGCGGTCCATGATTCTTTCAGGTGCACCTTTCATTACCAGCAAGTAGCTTGGGTCGTTGGGGTCTTCTGTCTCATGGATGGATACCTGTTGAAAGAAGAAGACATAATTAAAACTTAAGAATTTCCCTTCAATCATTACCGGTACGTAAAATGGTTTACAAGTTGGAAATTGTGAATTAGGACAAAATTAAAACAAAGTCTATATTTTTACTTAATTGTGGGTCTTTAAACACTGTATCACAGATATTTTTGGATTACATTTATTATTATACATTGACTGTAAGAAGGAATGCCTTAAGAATGATGTAACAAAACATGAAGTTAAAATGCAGGGCAAGATTTAATCGTAATCAAATTGGATGACTCACAAGTTAAAGGAAAAACAACTATTATTTGTAATTATTTTCTTCTTGCAAACACTCCTCTCACAGTAAACTCAGCATATCAAACCACATTTGCTAAACCCTACCTGATATTTGTTTGTTGAATTGAAGGGGATTTCCACAATCTTCTTGTTACGGCGACGGAATTCAGTAACTTTACCAATGGAAAGTTCAACACATTTCAAAAGTGCAGATTCTGAGGCATCTCCGTTACACTCTCTGCAGAAATCCCGAAATCATCATGAAAATATGTCATAAGAAGTGGGAAAGACAAAAACTAAAGATTCAATATCTCTTTAAAATTGTTTAAGTCAAATGTGCAGTGCAGAAATAAAGGCTTTTTTTACAAGCTCCAGAGTGTCTTGAGAGAAATGTGTTGACTGGTGATTATCATGATTACAGACCTCTTGAGGACAGGCACATTTTCCTGGCCGGCCTTGAACTCTGCTCGGTTACACAACATGCTGATGCGGGCAAGGCTCATCCAGGTGGGATCATTACGTGAGTAGGATGCATCTAAAGATACAAGGGTGCAAGATGTTTGTGGTGGAAAAGGTGGAGAAATAAAACACTCTCAAGGAAACATTTAACAGTGGAACACAGGGTTATTTTAAAACCTAAATGTACTTTCAATATTTTTCTATTATTTAAAATAAATTATTGGATAGTGATTTTTTTCTACTTTGAAATAATGAATAGAAATGTTTCAGCTTTAGAATGATGGTTTCCACTGTACAATGCATGAAAGAGATATCTAAAAGATAAGTATGAGAAATCTTACTGGACTGGTCATCACTAGTGTCAGCTTCAATGATGCGTCCATCAAACCACATGTGAGCTACTGTCATTCTGTTCTGGGTCAGTGTCCCAGTCTTGTCAGAACAGATGGTAGAGGTGGAACCCAGGGTTTCCACAGCCTCCAAGTTCTTCACCAGACAATTTTTCTTGGCCATACGCTTGGCGGTCAGTGTCAGACACACCTGTTACAATAAGAGAAAAAAATTCATAAAGGCATCTGTTTTAAAAGTAAATAAAAGATTTAAAATAATAGTAAAATTGAACAGTAAATTATATAATTTAATTATAGTGATTTAATTACCGTTACAGTAGCCAGGAGACCTTCAGGAACATTAGCTACAATGATACCAATAAGGAAGATGACGGCGTCCAACCAGAAATAACCAAGGATGAAAGCAATGATGAAGAAGGTGACACCCAAGAACACAGCTACACCAGTGATAATGTGGATGAAATGGGCAATTTCTTTGGCAATTGGAGTCTCCCCGACCTCAAGACCAGAGGCCAAGTTGGCAATACGGCCCATCACAGAGTTGTCACCAATCTTAACTACAATACCACGGCAAGTACCTGGGAAAAGAAAAAAAAAACTTGTTACTTGTCTAAAGGCACTTATCTACATTTTATCAAAACACACAAGGCTTTACATTTAAGGAAAAAAAATGCTAAAAACTAAGTTGACTTACCCTCAACAGCATTAGTAGAGAAGAAAGCCAGATTTCTTGTTTCCAGTGGGTTTTCATGAGTGAATTCAGCGGTTCTTGATTGAGGCTCGGACTCACCAGTCAAGGAGGAGTTATCTACCTTAAAACCATGAGCAGAGACGACTCTGATGTCAGCGGGGACACGGTCACCAAACTTAACTTCAACAATATCACCAAGCACAAGTTCTTCAGCTCGGATGCTTAGCAACTGACCACCTCGAATCACAACAGCGTACTGAAAGTAGATTTTTTTTAAAATTCGGGTAAATTAGTATTAAAACTAATATTTTATACATTTCACTCTAGTGATCTATGCAAATATGAATCTGGCGTTACTGATTATGCAAATTAAGTATATAGTTTTTCACACAAAAAAAAACTAAAAAGTTTGGAAAAATATTCCATTTCTTTCTTATTTCAAAATAAAGTAACATTTTTTAAAAGTTGAAATAAAAGCAAAGGATGATGGCCAATGGTAAAACTCACTTGAGGAACCATGTTTTTAAAAGAATCCATGATACGGGAGCTCTTAGCCTCTTGATAATATGAGAAGATACCAGTTACTACGACGACAGCTGTCAACACAATACCTAGGTACAACTGGAGAGAAAGAAATAATTTGAGGACAAATGTTTTACAATGTGTGGCACAATAAAGGTATGATTAAAAAATGCTTTCCATTATGAAGTCTTTTGTTCAAGTTATTTAATCCATTCATAATTTGCAAATGAAGTCACTGGTTTTAAAAAAATATTTTTTCAGCATTCCCTTATCGTATTTGCTCTTATACTGCGTAAACCAATTTCAAGACAGTAACTCCTAGTGGCTACAACATTAAAAAACATTTCATGGCGCCTCCTGATTGTTTTAATGAGAAAATAAGCTG